TCTCTCTCTCTCTCTCTCTCTCTCTCTCTCCCCCTCCCCTCCCCCAGTGAATGTCTGGGAATGACCAGTAGTAAACTTGGCACACTTCATCCAGGCAGCTGTTTTGAGGGGCGGTGGTGGGGAGGTTGGGAGGGGGGAGCATTGAGTGGGTGTTTCAGAATCTGCTCTTTATTCATGTCCTGCTTTTTTGGTATCTAAGGATATATCTACACTGACTCTAGTCTGTTTACTCCATTCCCAGCACTGGCATTCCCATTGGCATGTTTTTGGGTAAGAGGGAAATTGGAGTGGGCACAAGTAGGCAGTGCCTTTTTTTACAGTGGCAGCCTGGATCCAGTGTAGCTGTGCCCTACCGCTAGCTGATCTAGGTTTCACAAACACATACTTTAAAGGAAGGCACTGAGGAAACCATGTCAGGGTGGCAATAATCTAAACCCAGACCCTTGCAATGTATGACTTGGAGCAGGTGAGAAGTTGGCTTCTACTTGTATTTTCTCTCTGTCATGACGTTCAGTGCTATTCTTTGGTCTGGCCACTCTGAATATGAGTAGAGAATGTATCGTTCTAAATATTAGGGTCAGAGGGCAAGTGGAAGCTGGTCTGCAGTACAAACCAGTGTCTGTGTAGTACTGAAAATGCGTGGTCTCTCTCTTTTCAGGTTTCCTCGGCCTGTCACTGTGGAGCCCATGGACCAGTATGATGATGAGGAGGGACTGCCAGAGAAATTGGTCATCAAAAACCAGCAGTATCACAAGTATGTGCCTGCCTGAGGGAGGGAGCCTGGTGTTAGCTGTGAACTATAGGCTAGTAATTGCTGCGTTAATCATAGAATGGGTGGGTGATCATAGGGTAGGAAAAGTCTCCTCATGCTGCTTTTGTAGATAGGATTTCATCCCAGGAAGCAGAATACCATATTTGTCCTTTGCTGGGGAAGGCAGTACTTTTAGGCTATTGCCATGCATGATTATCAGTGTCTCCTTATGGACTTATCTGGCCAGAGTAGCTGGTTATCTGAACAACTCAGATGTGAGCTAAATGAATGTCCTATCTCATTACATGGATGAGGGCTGAGGCACAGACTTTGACTTGCTTAGGGTCACAAAGGGAGTCTAGAGTGCGTGCTCAACACCTGGCTCATGGGTCAGCTTTTGCCTGCAGAGCCATGTCATCTGGCCTGCCAGGCTCACCATGAGCCTGAAAATTTGGTGATGGGGGAGCAGTGGCAGTGTTAATTGGTGCTCCCCTGCTGCCAAATTTGTGGATCTGTGGTGAGCCTGAAGATTGGATAGCATGGCTCTGTGTACTAGGTTGGGCGATCAGTGCAGTGCAAGGCTGGATCTGGCTTGTGGACTGGCCCATGCCACTCACCTGGCCTACCATTGGTGTAAAGGAAGCAGGGCATTGGACTGTGATGCTCAGAGTCCCAAGTTGGGGCCTAACCTTTCTTTCTAGCAAGGCTCTAAGAAGTAAGTTTTATGGCACTAAGTAGTAAAAGGCCCTATTCAGACAAACCTGCCCTGACGTTTATGTAACTTCAAGTGGCCATCACAGGAACAGAGCAAGGAGGCAGGATGTGATTAAACTGATTGACTCTGCTTTGTTTTGTGAACCCTTCACTGAGCTGAGACTTGTAGAAGCAGGGAAGCCAATGCCTGCAAAATCAGGCCTTTGTGTTTTAGGAGCTGTGTAGAATAAGGACAAGGCTTGTCATCTTGGGTCGAGTGAAAAGGGAGTATGTTTGGCATACTTCTACAATGGATCAGATGTAAAACAGGAACATCGAATCATAGAAAATTATGGAATGTTCCTCTTCTATTCTCCCTTTTGCTGTTCTCGCTAACTATTGCATGCCTGTAGAAAGCACTACCTGGGTCCAGGCAGCAGGTTTCTGCAAGTAGTTTACACCTTCAGAAAAGAGTACTTGCACTGGTAAAGGGGCAGGAGTGACTGATCTTCCCTTGGTTTCTTGCTTTTGAGGAACCATGGTGATGTTCTCTGGAGATTTGACATGATGGTACTTCAGACAGAAAAATCACCTTTTAATTCAGTTTAGTGGGGATTCTCTTTCTTGTCCATGCTGACAGGATGGCAGGTCTCTAGATAAGAGATCTGAAGTGTTATCGATCTGTCCTTTCTAAATGCTAACTATGCTGTTTCGTTCATTCACACCCTGTAAATGCTGCATTGGTACAGTCTCTGCTCAGACATCCAATAACTTCTCCTCTCCACCAGGGAGCGTGAGCAGCCTCCTCGGTTTGCACAGCCTGGCACCTTTGAGTATGAGTATGCCATGCGCTGGAAGGCTTTGATAGAGATGGAGAAGCAGCAGCAAGAACAAGTAGACCGTAACATCAAGGAAGCACGAGAGAAGCTAGAGATGGAGATGGAAGCAGCTCGCCACGAGCACCAAGTTATGCTTATGCGGCAAGGTGAGAGCCAAGACCCGGCAGTCAGAGAGCAATAAAATGCTGACATGAGGCACTTGGTAGGATCTCCTCTGAGAGCCAGGAATGTCAGTTTGACACTAGTTAGGCCAGAATGTGACTGACTGACTAACTTGTCAGACAGTCATTGATGAAGTCAATGGAGTTGCAGCACTGAAGAACTAGCTTCTCTTCTACCACCTCTTTAAGGTGGCATACAGTACCAAATAGAAACCAAGTCATAAAATGAGATTCAGGCATGGAAGTGGGACATAACATTGCTGGATCTCCTGTCTGCAGACAGAAGGAACAGCAGTTAACCACGGTGGGGATTTTGACTTTTGCTGTCACCTTTTCCAGATTTAATGAGACGTCAGGAAGAACTGAGGAGAATGGAGGAACTGCATAACCAGGAAGTGCAGAAACGTAAACAGCTGGAACTCAGGTAAGGGGAAGTATTGAATTCAGCAAGCCCACCCTGGAGGGGTTCGGCCACTCTTGCTCAGAACCATTGGGTGCACCAGTTGGGCAGTACTTGTAGTGGCCATCATTTTGGTCATCTTTGTCCAAGTGCAAGTGTTTTTAGGGTGGAGGATTTTGGGGTCTATACCGATGACCTTGAGAGTCAATGACTAGTATTTATTCTTTCCCTGATAGACCTTGATTTGGCTGCTTGACTTCTGGGGCAAATGCAAAGCCAGTGATCCTGAGCTCCGGAGTTGTTGGTGGGAATATCCCTGTCTTAGCTTTTGCCTTCCCAAACTTCAGTTCACTTTTGGAAGCTTTCACACAGGTCTCCCGTTCCATTTCTGCTGTGTTGTTTGATTCTTGGACATTTTGTGAAATGCTAGGAGCCATTGCTCTGTGGAACGTGGCTTGAGAACCACCTGACTAGTGTTTCCCAGTTCCATGTAGATAGTCTTTCTGTGGGAGCTGCTAGATACTTGGGCCTAATATAAATGGGCCCTTTTCTAATGAACTCATTAGAATTGGAATAGATTGGAAATTGCTCAGTGCTCACAGAAGTTACTGTTTTTTGTATTGAGAAGCCTAACCTTGCACTGGCTGGGCAGGACAGTGTCCTTATATATACTATCAGGCAGCTGCATACTCTAGTGCTTCACACTGGTGCAGAGAATTTGGCTTAGGCTGTGCTGAGTCTCTGGAATGCTCTCCTTGCAGGCAGGAGGAAGAACGCAGGCGCCGTGAGGAGGAAATGAGGAGGCAGCAGGAGGAGATGATGAGGCGTCAGCAGGAGGGCTTTAAAGGGAATTTTCCTGATGCGGTATGAGTTCTTCCTGCCTTCACTTCCTATCTTGGTGCTGCTAGTGAGATGCTGCCCAGATGCAGTGCAGGAGCTTCTGTCAAGTGTTCAGTGTATTGACTGTGGGACAGTTACTAATCTGTTCTGCTCCAGATTACTGAGCGCTTGCAGCCTTAACTTCATTTTAGTATAGCATAAACATACAGAAATTCACCAACTGCCAGGAAATATGCTTTCTTCCCACTGTCCAGGTAGAACCCACAGTGTGTCACTTCGCTCTGCAGAAGAGCACGTGCTAACTAGTCCTATTCTCTGAGCAACAGTTGACATGCAGTTCCTTATTATGATTTGCATACCTGGCTATGATAGCACTATCTTGAAGGCAGGTGTGTTGTCCTGTCAGCTTGAACATTACTGACTTGAGGGACTTTGCAGGCCTGGCAATGTGATTGTCATTGAGAATAAATGTTGGTCAAGTTACCACCTGCTAGTATTTGATACCTCAGCTTTTCCCAGTTCTTAGAGTAGGAAACATTTGTGATAACTGACTTAAAAAAAAGAAGTGATAATTCAGTGATAAGGCTGGATATTTCATGAATCAACAGGGCTGCAAAAAAACTACTGGGAATCAGTGACTCAGTTCCAGTCCTGGCATTTTGTAATATCAGGTATCACAGTTGCATTCCAGAAACCACTTGATTTTAGTCTCTTATTTCTGATAACAATGGGAGCGAGGAATTGAAATCATTGCCATGCCATAGAAGGGTTTGGTATCTCCTTTCCCATTGTATTATATAGAAGGATTGTCAAAGATTAGGCTGGTAGACTTTGTCCATTCTACTTGAAGTGTTTGTGGCCTGCTTGGTATCCAAATTCATATGACGTTTCTGTCCCTTTTGTCCCATTTAGTTCCATCCACTATAAGCTCCTTGGGATAGGCCAGGTTCTGGGTGCTTTTCAGTTTTACCCATATTTTTAGTAATTGGTAATAGATAAATTTGTGCAGCCTCCTAGTGTGAACACACTTATAGTGGTATAAAGGTGACAGTCTTTCCCACATTAGAAGGTTACATTGACTTTAATTATCTTGGTATCGAGTCACTGTTACTTTGGACCAATATCATGCATAGCTTGTGCTGTATTTAAATAGGTACAAAAGTGTGTTTATGGAGTACCTGTGTTAAAACTTGCAGCGGTTCCAGAAAAGATGAAACGCATTATTCTGGATGAACTAAGTCTGTCGGTATATTTATGCAAATGACTACAGGCACGTTTATTTTTTTTAAAGTCAGCATTTTCAGATTTTACCCCACTTCCACGTGCTTAGGTAGAGCAAGGTCTGGCACTCATTCCTTTTTCTTGTCTTTGTGTGAGAAGGTATTTTGCAGAATTCACAGATTTGTTGAAATCTGGCAGGGCTGCGCTGTGGGTGCTTCTGCTCTAGCCTTGAATTTGCGACCTCTGAGCTGTCAATTGCGCACCTTAGCACCTGTGCCACCCCAGACGGGTCTGTAAGAGGAGGGGAAGGAGCTGCAGGAGGAAAAAATTGGGGTGGCACCTGGAGGACAAATTCAAGGCAAAGCAATAATGAGATTCTATACCTAGAATATTATAACAAATTTATAAATGTTCTATCTATAGCATCTTATTACTGGGGAGTTGTCTTATATTCAGGGTCATGTCATATTTGAGTAAATATGGTATGTCTCTACGGAAACTTTATAGGCTAGGTGTAAATGTGTTCACTGGACCTGATCAGCAGGGATCCTGGTTTTCTCTGATTTAAAAAAAAAAAATCCCAATTTTCAGAGTTAAAAAAGTAACCCCAAATCCACATTTTTCCATGATTAAAATGAAACACCACTAGTGTGTGTGTGTGTGTGTGTGTGTGTGTGTGTGTGTACACACATACCCCACCTATACATACATATGCACACACATCTATATATATATACACACACACTCATATATGTATAGGGGGGTGTTTCCACGTGCACGCGTATAGGTGTGTGTATGGGGTGTGTGTGTATATGTATAGGGGGTATACTGTGTGTGTATACGTATGGGGGTGTGTGTGGATATGTATAGGGGGGTATGTGTGTATGTGTATAGAGGGCGTGTGTGTGGGGGTGCGCGTGTGTGTATATATGTATTGACGTGCGCGTGTGTGTATGTATAGATGTACATGTGTGTGTATAGATGTGTGTGTGTATATGAATGAACAACATCAGTTCAGATTTTTTATTGGTCCCAGATGTACACAGGAAATAGAATTAAACTTACTTTTTAAGCTCCTTTTTGTGAGTTGGGACTGCCAGTAGACAAAGGAGGCACTGTTGGATTTGTAGCAGAGTAGCTCCTGCTTTTACAAATACAGGCAACCAACGCTTAGCACTCTTAATTGGTTCTGGAAAAAATGAGCATTAAGTGATTCATAGATTCGCAGATACCGGGTCGGAAGGGACCTGAGTAGATCATCAAGTCTGATCCCCTGCCCTGGGCAGGAATGAATACTGGACTTACATGACCCCTGGTAAGTTTACGCTAATATGACCCCAGCTAGGTAATTATCAAGCCTCCTTTTAAAGACCCCTAAGGTAGGAGCCAGCACCACTTCGCTTGGAAGCTGGTTCCAGATGCTAGCCACCCTAACAGTGAAGTAGCACCTCTTGATGTCTAATCTGAATCTGCCCTCTGCCAGCTTGTGACCATTGTTCCTTGTTACTCTGGGAGGTGCTCGGGGGAACAGGGTCTCACCCATTCCCCTGTGATCCCCCCAGTAAGTTTATAGATGGCCATTAGATCCCCTCAGCCTTCTCTTGTGAAGGCTGAACAGGTTCAGGTCCCATAGCCTCTCCTTGTAGGGCCTGCCCTGCTACCCCCGATCATGCAAATGGCCTCCTCTGGATCCTCTCGATGCTGGCCACATCACTTCTGAAGTGCGGCGGCCAGAACTGGATGCAGTACTCGGCCTGAGCAGTGTCACACAGAGGGGGAAGATTGCCTCCTTGGACCTGCTCATGATGCATCTGTGGATGCACGACAAGGTGCGGTTGGCCTTGCTGACCGTGTCCTCACATTGGTGGCCCATGTTCATTTTAGAATTGATGACTACCAAGATCTCTTTCTGCCACTGTGCTTTAGAGAGTGGACCTGTGCTAAGTGAAACTCATTTCCCCATAGGAATGATTGTAAATAGAGATAATTGGTTACCACCATTTCTCATCGCTGCCTCTCCCTACTCCCCTACCTGCCTGCTGGCCGCTCCAGCCTCACGTGCCAGCCCAGGCCCGTGCTCCTATCCCACCCTGAGACCCTGCCAGCCCAGGCACCGGTGTGGCCCCTGCACTCATGGCCAGCCCCCACTCGCTGCTTCTCACTGCC